TAAGATGATGATCAGTCATTCTCACCTTCGCCATAGTCGGATACTTCCACACCATTATCTGATTCTGAGAATATCCATGAGTGCTGACTATTTCATTCACATTTTTACTCCATGCTAGATTGCATACCTGCAGTTGGTTTTTATAATAAATAATGTAAAGCCTAGTCACAAAAAAGACCAGTTATTTTTTAACAATTACGAATTATCCACTTTACAAATTACAGAAAGAACTAGTTCACACATTGTACCAAAACACAAACGACCCTCCCTTAAGGGGTTTAAAAAGTACGTAAATTTCACACCTTCAACTCCTTCGACATGTAATTTAAGTAAGAGCCTATTTTAATGCTGCATTATAAAAGAAATAGTGTAGATGATGATCTCTACCTGGCTTCCCGTGTCCACACGATTGAGCTGATTGCCACTCGATGTATTCCAAAACCGAATGCAACGATCCGCAGTTCCACCTCCAGATGCCAAAAGGCCATTCTGATGTGGCGACCATGCAATGGCTTTCACGGCTGCTGTATGCTCTGTTAGCTTCAGTATCGGCTGTCGCGAGTGCTGATTCCACACCAATAGCTGAAGAAAAAACGAACATTAGATCACAAAAACATCAACTTAAAAAATAAAATAAACCAAGAAACGTAAAAGAATAATAGCAAATCAAGCTTACCTGATTATCGTTGCCACCGGAAGCAAGTTCTCGATCATCATGAGACCATTTGAGTCCACAAACCTTATAAAAAATAAGACAATTTTTTAGTTAAGAAGCATTCTTTGACAACCATATGTATAAGTTTTCTTTCTTTACCTCTGATTTGTGTCCAGTAAGCTTGCTAATATAATCGCTCGGAACACGAAGATCGTGCTGAAGTATGTTTCTATCTCTGCTGCCAGAGGATAATATGCGAGAACTCCATGCAAGCACTCCAGTTCTTGTTTGATGTCCACCCATTGTTCTAACACGCTTGCACTGAGTCCCGTCCCAAACCTAAACCATCCAAGTCTTTCTAATTTAGGTCTTTCTTCAATGCTGAAAAACAGGACCAATCAAAATAACTATTACCTGAACTTGCCCAAGACTTGTGCCGACTGATATGTATGACCCCTCTCGAGTCCACTGGACTGAGCAGACACCATCATTAGGTCCCAGGTCACATAATTTTGTCACCTATTAATAAAAATGCACACTGAATCAGATGACTTCAAGTGGGAATAAATGTTTGTGGTCCTATGTGATGGGTGCGAATAGCAAAAACTAACTTTGCTGTTTGAAGCACTCCATAGATAGACACAGGTGCCTAATCCCACAGCAAGGACATTCTGAGAAGACCAGTCGACTAAGTTGAGGTAAAAATCGTCTTGAAGGGATGGTGCATCCAGAACCTGTGATAATTCCGTACTCTTAATTAGCTGAAAATCGACACTTCATGTGAAAGGTTTTCTCAAATCTCAGTGCTTGTAATACATATGAAAGGCAGAGTCTGATTCAAGTGAAGTTTTGTACTGTAATTTTTCTATTTAGAATTGTTGGCCCAGAGAAAAGGTGCAGGTGGCTAGGTAAGAAGATTTCATAATCATGTTAGCATTCGCATACGAGGATTTCCCTCTTGATGGTGATAACAAAGGAGATGAAGTTCCTATATGGTCGTCACATAGCCAATGTTTGTTTGGTTTCTATATTCTTCAGCCCATAGATTAAGTACTTAAAAAATTTTGAGTCTGAAGGTCGTGTATGGTCCGATCTTGTCTCTTGATTCAGCTACATTTTGCACATTAATGCATTTCAGGCAACTCTGTCCTAGGCCTAGCATCTTAACACCTGGTAACTAGTAGAAACATAATAAGGCCATAGAAAACAAACAAACTCACAAGAAAACCATTTACGATCAACTAGAACCATTAAAAATCATTGCTTCTTAATTGTTTTTACCCCCCTTCAGTGTTAACATACAAAACCTCACAAAGCCAAGATCTTTACTTCAACTGTACCTTGTGAGGCGTCTTGGGCACTTTCCTCGGCGGCTTGGGCGGCGTCGAAACCTCGCCAGAAAGCCCAGCATCATGTCCCAAAACCGACGGTGAGAAGGGCGAATTGGGCCCAGACGAGTGCTGCTCCGTCTTGAACCTCAGCATGTTCTTGCTCGGACTCGTCATCACTGGCGACCCACCACCACCACCACCTGCAGAAAAATCACAAGACCCAAAGTCAGTCCCGAAAAGTTCAGCCCTCAACAACCTGGAGTAAGCCTCGCTGCCGCCGCCGCCTCCAGTCCCCTCCTTGACCGGCGACCCCTTCTCCACTAGCCCGAACGTGTGCAGCCTCGACGTGGATCTGCAGGGTATGAACCTGTCGCTGCAGGCGGAGGCCGACTTGGACGGGGATGAGGAGGCGGAGAGGTTGGATATGGTCCTGGGGGACATCGATTTGAGCGGAGACGAGAGGCTGCTGACGGCGGGGGACGAGAATTTGTCGAGGCGGAGGGAGGCGCCGGACATGGACGGCGGCAGGTTGATGCCGCTTTTCCTTCTGTGCGTTTGGCTGTCCATATTTTTTCTAATGATCTGCGCTTTTGTATCGCGCGAGGAGTTTGTGAAAATGCCTCAGAGTCGGTCGGAGGGCTTTTTCCGGCGGAGAATGAGAATGTGGAGATGGTGGAGAGTGGAGGGGTTTTGAATCTGTAGATCTCTTATCTAATGGAGCCAACGGTCAGTTGTGATGGAGAAGGTAGCAGCAGCTGGGCTCATGTTTTAGCTCCTCTTACCAAACAAAAGTACATCGATACTGCAACTAGCCGTTACGAACATTTAATTTATTTATTATCTAAAAAAAAAATAGTAGGTGTGTAGGGCACACGATTGATTATAAAATATAATCGATTTTAATAAGCTTGTCAAAACGAGCTCTGACCCGTGAGTCGACCCGCCCCGCTAATGGGTGGGCCTAGCTGAGAGTATAGAGGCTCCATGAGGAGCGGGCTTAATTGTGTCCCGTCTTTAAAAAACATGTAAGATGACCTTGTTTATTTAGTAGCGTTTTGACAATGATTTAGGCATTGTTTATTAATCAGCGGTTAGCTGTTAACTGTTAGCGGATTGCATTAGTTGCTTTGACCAGTGGGTTGCATTAGCTGTTTTGACCAGCTGATTGTGTTAGCGGTTTGTAAAAAAGTGTTTGGTAAAATTAGCTATTTTATTTAGTTGTTAACATGTAAAATTACTCAAAGGACATCAACATGCTTGAAATTTATTTTTATGTAGATACTTACAAAGTAAAACACAAATATTTATTTATTATTTTAATATTAACAAAAATTAAATACGATATTAAATATTATTAAATTGCGCTTTCATATGTACATTAATTAATGTAAAAACTAAATAGAAGATGGAGAAATTTTTATTTGTTCAAAAGTACAAGCACAAATGTTTAAAGGGAAAATGAGACAAATGTTATTCTGGCTCTTTCTTCTTGAAATGTGATTGTGTGATTGTGCAAACTGAAATGTTGTTATGAATTTTGCATCTCATTGTTACAAATTAGTTCAAGTTTTATTTTAACCGAAACAATATACTTTTACTTATATTTTGTTCAGAGAATATTTTTTGGTGTCCGCTCTATATTGAAAATAGCTCGGTTTCACTTGTATTTTTTTTGTTCGAAAATACATCTAACTCAATTTTTTACCATACAATTAAATTTATTTTTTGGAAATTAAATTAATTTTAATTTTATTTTAATAAAAAATAAAATACTTTTACTTTTATCTTGTTCGAGCTATATTTGTTGGCGTCCGTTCTACTATGAAAATAGTTGGGTTTCACTTATTTTTTTTCGATAACACATTTTACTTGTTCTTATACCATACAGTTGATTTTTTTTTTTCAGATACCAAATTAATTTCAATTTTATTTTAACGCAATTTGGGAACTGATGTTGGAATATAAATCTAAATTGTTTTTAAATTGCAAATTTTGCAATTTAAATAATGGGTCATTTTGCCATTAAATAGCACACAATTAATTATTTGTAATTTTACTGAAATGTAATGCCACACATGAATTCGGTATGCATTTTGTAAGAGAAGACCCCTGCATCTCTTTTCAATATTTTTTCATTAAATTAGGGGTAATTTTGCCCACAAGTATTCATTTGTACCAAAAAATTAAAAAGCCAAACACAAACGCTGGAATATATAGCGTTTAGAATTTTAGCTTTTTGAGCAAAAAAGCTACAAAGAAAAGCTATTAACCAAACACCACTTTTAGCGGATCCTAAAAGTCAAATAAGCTAAAATGTGCAACAAGCTAATTTTGTTCAAAACGTTGTTATCCAAACAGTCTTAGTTTTTTGAGGGAGGTTAGCTTTTTCATTTGTCAAACAAGCTAAAATTAGTGTTTGGTTAAATGGCCTTTTGCTTTGGCTGATTGGGTGAATAAACTAAAATTAGAAACGCAATTATAAGCGTTTTGCAACAACGGATTGGATAAATTTTTTATTTGGTTTTTTTTTTTTGTTTTATTTTTTATTTTATTTTTTAGTACGTACCCCGTGCGATTTACGGGACAAAGATATTAAATGAGTTATTTTCACATGCTCTTATTGTTTAAGTCTAAAAAGCAATAGAATTATAATCTATTTTTCACATCTTTTAATCAACATGTTAAGTCAAAAAAACAAAAGAGTTATAATATATTTTCCACCTCTTTTAATCAGCATTGTGTTTTAGCTAGAACATTGAATATGAGCATGTTAGGCTAGCTTGTAAAATAATTAATATACTATCTCACTAACACATTATACTAATATAAATTTGATTTTAATATATATATTATTCCTCGTTATATGTTCATGTGTGACTTTATACCATATTTATATAGTATCTAGAGCTTATTCATTACATTATTGGTGTAGAAATTGCATTATTGTGTCATAATTCTATATCTTGTTGGAAAGGTATTACACACGTGCTTGTTTTGTAAATATTTTCACATATTTGTAGAGCTTGTGGCTATTGGAGGCGCATGGTGAGTACCTAAGACCCTCGGGATGATGAAAGTAGACATGGCCAAGGGTTGAACCGGCTCGCCGAACCGGCCCGGACCCGGACCGAACCCGGCCCGGACCGGCCCGGAACCGGCCCGGAAAAGCCGGTTTTCGGCCCGGAACCGGACATATGGCGGGCCGGTTCCGGGCCTTTTCGGTAATAAAAAAACCCGGCGGGCCGGGCCCGGTCCGGGCCGGGATGCACGGATGAAAAAAATAGAAGAAACGAGTGAAACAAGCAAGAAAAGGAGTGTGCTGAGCTGACACGGGCAGCGAAACGGGCATGATGCCCGTGTGAGAGGCTGTGTCACCTCAACAGAGAGATTTCGAAGCCTAGGCACCTGGCACGGGCTACGACACGGACGGTGACACGGGCAGAATGGTCGTGTCGCGCACGCAGGCTGGTTTTTATTTCTTGCCTATTTTGAAAAGGAGAAGGGTATTGGACATTATAAAAGGCATATTCACCCTATTTTGAGAGGAAGAACATGAGTAACAAGAAGAGGAGCCCTAGAACATACAAGAGAAGCAATTGAGAAGCAAAGGAAGATCAACTACGAATGAATCAAGGAGATTGAGAGATTGACGAGATTCCTAGTTTTTCTTTCTTCTTTCTTTTGAACTTTTATTTATCATGTCGATTTCTAATATGTCTATGTATTTGAATTCGAATATGAATGGCTAGTTTATTTGATTCTAGGACTTGGTAGTATATTAATATGTTGGGATTTTGGATGAATTATTCTATTTGATTGTTTTCTTTTGAACCCTATTCAAATATTTTGTTCTTATTTTATGTTTAGCACTTGATCAATGCTTTTACATGTTTGACAATATTGTTCATAATTCGAGAGATGAGTTCAATATTAGGTCTTTAATATTTGATACAATTTACTTGCTTGAATCGAGAGATTAGTAGGTCGTTGTGAGGATATTAGATCTTTTAATCTATTTGGAGTTGAATTGCATGTGTTGAGTGGAGACGCTAATATATGTGATTTAATCTACAGTTTTACCGATCTCGAGAGGCACGATAAGCTAAATTTGTGATCATCTTATAGGGTAGATAAAGGAAACATTTAGTTGTGATATTTCTGAGGAACCCAACTGTTAATTGAAACTACAGTCTTAGAATATATCATTCTCATTTGTTTCACGTGTTCTTTAGTTAATTCTTTGTTCTTACGTTATTTCCCTTTAATTTATTTTCTTAGTTAGTTAATCCATCTCATATTCGGTCGTCTAAATAAAGTTGACACTATCATAATCTAGTACTTGATATATTAATTATTTGGTCTCTTGAGATACAACTTTGCTTGCCACATACTACGAGTGAAGCCGTACACTTGCTGTCAAGCTTTAAAAATATAGGCGAACATTATAAGAGAAAACAATAGTTTAATTTATTATTGTTCACCATATAATACTTAGTTATTACTTTGTTATAAACTTTATTGGCATATAATATCGTTAAAGAAGTTGTATGTCTTTTTTTTCTTTTAATTTTATGTAATGAAAAATATTTAATGCACGTTAATACCATTTATTTAAGTAATCACTTTAAAATATGTAAATAAATTTAAAATTAAATAGTGTATAAATATTTTACAAAATATACGCAGATGTTTTCTTAGAACTAGTACGGTGCCCGTGCGATGCACGGGAGCATTTATTACCTATATATTTTTTAAAAAGTCTTTTTGTATTTAAATTGTCTCAGGCCATTAAAAATTTCATGAAAAATGAAATTTATATGTTATTAAATACTTCCTTATGTACAACATTATTGATTTGATTTTTTGGCACGTAAAGTACTACATAGGTGTTCAAATTTATCCAAAATTACATATTATTAGTTATTAGTTAACAAATTTTTTAAAAAAATAAAGGATCTTATTTACTAAACAAAATTAAAGTAGAAAAAGAAAGTAGAATTTTTTAGGGATCTTCACCCATTATTTATTTTAAAACTAATTCTAAATTTCAATTAAGAAAAATTGAAAAGAATCATTAGTTATTCCCGGAAATGAAACCGATTTTTCTAACAATAAACCGATTTTTTTATCAAACAAATTGATCCTAATTTTTTTTAACCAAATAAAAAAAATTATCAATTTTTCCTAAAAAAGCAACCAAATTTTTCTAACATTGCACCAATTTTTGTATCAAACAAATTGAATTGAAAATAATTCTAATAAAAAAATGAAATAAATTGTTAATGTTTATGCAACTGTCTCTTTCCTAAAGAAAATGATATGAACTTAACAAAAAAAAAATGATATGAATTTACCAAAATCTCGGTAAAACATGATTAAGAAAAAACATATGAATCCAAAACATCGATGCACTTAAATTTTGAAAAGTTGCATACAATTTTTCCTAAATAATTGGATAAGGTGACTTTAAATATCAATGATGAACTACTTTTGTTACCATAAAATTTGGAAACAATTTTGAATGTACATCCCGTCCAAATATCAGTTTTATTTTAAAATAAAAATTACACGTGGCTTTATCTAATTTACACAATTTTTTTGAAAGAAAAAATTATTCAATAAGATTGGAAGAATTGGTTAAGAATTATACAACTATTTGCTTCCTAAATTTATATCCAATTTGCACAGATTTTAAATTAATTTTTATTTAGAATTATTTTCATAAATAATTGACACATTTTTTGCATAAGAATCTCCAAATTTGTTACCAAAAAAGATATGATTTAAATTTTGGTAAGAAAATAAAATATGATACGAAAAAAATTGGATTC